AGACTCTGTGTTTCCTTCTCCAGAGTTGTTTCCTTCAGTTGAGTTCTCATAGTTTTCTTCCATTGGTACTACAGTCTCCTCGTCTTTCTTCTTCAGCTTCTCGATCACTTCCATCAGTTCTCTGTTCACCTGTTTATATCATACATACATAACAGCTTAAAACTTATGTATATAAACTCTTCCTACACAATCACAATACTAAAATGAAGATTTTGCTCCAACTAAATTATACATGTACGAATCATTGTCTAAGGTACCATAAACAATGCAAGAAGAAGAGATTTTGTTATCGACCTGTGGGTTCTGGAGAAAGTCGCAGATGTCAGTTGTGCAAGAAGGGCACTTCATGATGTTCTTTTGTGAACGCAGAGTACGTCCACCGCGGCTTCTTTCTCTAATCTGAGTTACCCCAGCAAATGTAGATTCTAGGCACGCCTTACAGAAATTGTGCGCGCAAGGAGTGGTCACCGGAAGACTCATCACATTCTTACAGATTGTGCAGTTAAATCCTGTGTTCAAGAAAAACCAAATGACAGGTTATACGTGCAAGGCCATTTGCCATATCGATTGTATCACATACGTTCTATCCAGAAACCCCAACTAAGAAAGATTGATATGCATACCTTTCAGAAGTTTGTCCCTGATAGTACTGTTATCAGCTCCCTTGGATTTTCTCATGTTCTTCCTCCCCTCGGGATTCATAGCAAGTTTGCTAGCAGGTGGAGCCTTCACCCACTTCCAACGACCATCAGCTTCCTGGTTAAGTAAATGTATTAGCAGGTGCAGGGAAAAATGATACAGGTAAGGAACCCATGTAGTATGTTAATTTCTTATGTGTCAAGTAATATATCAAGACATGAGGAAAAAAAGAGTAGTTGTACTTACATCAAAATCCCATGATGGACTTTCTTTTCTCTCATACAGGTCAATGGCCTTCTCAAGCTCTGGAATATCAGGCAAAGGTCTTGGACGATCGCCATGCTCATCACTGCGGTATAATTCAACGTTGAGCATATACATACAGAAAATTGGGATTTCAAAGAGAAAAGAGATCAAACCTGGTCCATGGAGCTGGCTCATTGTCACACCTAACCAACAGGTAACGACAGACCTTGAAAGTACCCTATCGAAAACAGAAGAGTCGTAAGTCAGGAAAAAACAATAACCAGCTCTGCATACAAAGAACAGGTAACCAATTAGGATTGATAGTCATATCCAAACCTGTTCTCCAACTGTTCGCCAGCACTTTTCAACCCTGTAAACCCCATCGTACCTAACCCCTTTCTTAGGGGCGTATGCAGTCTTCTCCTTGTCAGACCTGGTAATTTTTAAGTATGAAGAAAGAAATTAAAGTGTTAAGATGATTTTCTGCAGAGTATATCGATAACGATAGATGAAACTAGCCAAAATGACCCTGTTAAACCGGGGAGTAAGGACAAACAGTCTATATTAATTCAATCAACAACACAGTTCTAAGATAATTATCCCATTTAGATGAAGAAAGATGTTGAGTGCAGCTAACCTGACAACGCGGACAGGATAGCCCATTTGGCAACTCAACCTAAGAGCTTCATTAGCCTTTGCAAAGGTCTGGTCAGAAGACTGCTTGTCGTTGGTTCTTCTATTGCGGCTAAGGTCTCGGCCTCCACTGCAAGACACATTCGCAAATATTCAACGCAAAAAAGAGAAACTAGAAGAAAAAAATATATACTAACCAAATGCTAGGAGTTATGTAAAACTAACCTTCCCGTGTAGAGAATATACTCTCCATGATCCACATCATCCTTATAACCTCCAGCGACTGCCACCGACTGAGCTCCATGCTTTGATTGCCCAGCAATGCCAGAAATATGTGGGTTATGAGCCCCCCACTGCTTACAAGCTTGTCTGTCGCTCCAAGAGTCTCCAACCAGAACACCCCGATTATTTTTGGGATCATTTTCAGCTGGTATGGGACCAAAGTGATCACGCGGTGTTGTCACAAATCGCTTGCCACTAGCAGCATTAGCAATCCCAGTTTTCTTGGCACGAGCAGTCCTATATGCTTTGTCGGGAAGGTGGTCATTTTTTATGCTTATGAAATGATAATGCTTCGGGGCAGCCACAGCAGCAGTTTCAGGAACATTCGACAAACGAATAGCAGAAACAAGAGTAAGGTTGATTTTGATATTCTCTGCAAATGTTTTAGTAAATTTGGTGCGGCAACTCGGACAGTTATATTTCTTCTTTTTAACCACCCATTCGTTGAAACATTCCAAACAGAAGTTGTGCCCGCACGGCGTCTGGAAAGACAGTTACAAAAGAAATCCATTAGCACCACCACTACTTAAATATTAATCATCCTCATCAAGAATACATATTTATAGTAAAGTCAAATAAAATCATCCTCATTAGCACTAGTTAAATACTATGTACAGTTCACTGTTCACAACATCAATACACAGCAAAGTCAAAAGTTTGAGAGTTCTTACACAAGAATCCCAACTTTTGTCAAAACTGAACAACCAAAAGTAAAACAAAGTGTATACTGCATTGCCTAACAATCATAATCAGCACAACAAATCTAGTCAGAATCAGTATGTTACTTATCTCAAACAAACTAATCAAACCCCAAATGAGCAAGTCTTAATGACACTAAGAACTTCTCATACCTGCACATAATTGAACTAGCAATTCTGTTTTATCTATAAATGTACACAAATGGTAATCAGAACAAAAAACTCAATAATACCTTTATAGATTACTGAATCTAGAAACAATGTAACGTTTTTCCAGTACTGGATTTATAGTATCAGTCATCTTAATTCAACAATCATATCCAACAACACAGATTTCAACAATCTACAAAGCATAAGAAGCATTAACACTAAACTGATTAAAGCGAAACTCAGATCCATATAGAGAAGGAAGAGTACGTACCGAGACAGGTCTCTTAAGCATACCCTTGCAGATAGAACAAATGAAATTCTCATCAAGCGAAGCCACAACACCATTCTTCTTCTCCTCCTCAACCTCCACATCAGCTTTACCACTCATCAACTGTTGCCTCTTCTTAGCTTTCTGTGACTCAGTCAGAGTCACATCAGCTTCAATCGCACGGATCGCTGCAACAATCCCAGACTCATCAGATCCAATTCCGGGGTTACCGGTAACCGGAACGAGATCGGAATCCCCGGAACAATCCGGACAAGTCCACTGTGTAGTGGAAGCGAGGGATTGTGGTGGAGACGAGAGACAGTCCACGTGCCATGGCGTGACGCACGTGGCGCACGTGAGACATTCTTCCGTTGGTGGTTTTGTTTTGCATCGCATGCATACATCGTCTCCGTCGCAGGGAAGCTGAGGTCCGATCGCCATTTTCCGATGATC